ATCAAAAACTGTTTATCCTGCTGAAATAAACTGACCACATTTTTTGTAGTTCATTTAATGTTACATACACAAAATTATGGTTATGGTTATTACTTTACTTATACCCAGCCACATATTATTAAAAAAATTCGGCCGTTCCTTAGTGCGACTCTGTACAAGCAGCCTTGTCTGGGAGATCACGTGCACTATGTATGTATTGTTTTGGAGCACTCCGTTGCTTGAATAGACAGAGTTTACTTACAGGGATCACGCCCACAAAGAGGTGTGGCAAATCAATCGATATGGGTGATAAGGAGTGATGAGACGAACATAATGATAGTGGTTTTGTGAGGAGACAAAAAAATTTTGCTCAACATTTACATTTAGAATTGACTTTTAATTCATTCAATCAGCTCTAAGAATGCATCCAACTTAATGTGGCGAAATTATTGACACCAAAGGTACTCGCACATGTGCATAGCCAGATCATCACCATTGTAACCCACGCTTTTCCAAGTCGTATTTGAGCCACTTCTAACTGCTTTCGATGGTCTGAGTGTGAGGTCCGGTTTTAGGTTAGGTTAGGTTGAAATTCTCAATATCCCTTCAAATAATTATTTCCTCACTCTAAAACCCTACTATTTATTCTATTCCTCCCATCACCTTCATTCGATTTATATGTCACAACCTTTTGTGAGCGTGGTCCCAATGACTAAAGTGCAGCCTAAGTTTGATACTTTGAAATCGATCTACCTTTCTTTAGCCCATTTCCATAATGGTATGGACATACCATGGGGTGAAAAATTACGTTGTTGGGGAACACTGCCAGCCTTTCTTCGTTGAATTGAAAAGTATGATAATATATAAACATTCGAAGCCCCTAGTTAAGCAATTTTAATTTAACCAACACAAGCAATACCAATTTTTTGTTTTCCAAAAAATTCATTGAATGTTCACCTATGCAATCTTTTACTTGTTAGAATCAGATCGTTCAATTCATCGTCTTTCGAAAATCAGAATAAACGTTTTATTTTGGACATTCAGTTTAGATTATCCATCATCTGTTTCGTATTGCCTATGTTCCTCTCAACTGGTTTCTATTATATGTAACTCATAGATTTTTGGCAATAACTCACCACACTTACTCACTTGCTACAAACATATCATTGTACCTACCTATATAAAATATTCAAATAAATATTATATTTTCTTATAGCAATATAGCACCCTTGTATTTTTTATCATTCGTGTACGAACTTAAATCTTGAGTTCAAAGTCGAAATTACGAGATGAAAGTTGGAATTTTCAAAAAACAACAAATAAAACTATATGGCTCATATATGCTGCCAATATGCTCACCACACTTACTCACTTGCTACAAACATATCATTGTAACTACCTATATAAAATATTCAAATAAATATTATATTTCATTGTAGCAATATAGCACCCTGGTATTTTTTATCATTCGTGTACGAACTTAAATTTTGAGTTCAAAGTCGAAATTACGAGATGAAAGTTGGAATTTTCAAAAAACAACAAATAAAAATATATGGCTCATATGCTGCCAATTATTCAATTTTGACAGGTCAACAACTACTACTTTTTTCCCAAACATTTTATTTTACATCTTTACTAAGAATATTTGCACAAACATCATAAAATTGTTATATCAGAAAACCCTGATTTTTTATTTGATCGAGCATACTTTTTTATTGTGTAATTTGTATCTTTGAATCCGAAAAATGGTTGACCCTAAATCCTTACATCCAACTTGCCTCTTTGAGCTCGAAATTTTAAAAATTATTTCACGGAATCACTTTCTATTGAACGCGTCATTTTCGCCCGCTTCCCTGTTTTGAAATTTTTTAATTTTCTTAACGGCAAATTAAAATTTCAACTTAAAAAACATGAGGAGCCCCCCAATTCTTCGTTGCCCCAGGGCCTCTAGACTTCCAAATCCGGCCCTGAGTAGATACCTACTTTTCCGACAGATCATAAATATTTGCTGCAGTTAACACCTTCCCACCGAAACGCGAAATGTACAAAACCCAACAGTATCTTACTAAATAAACATTAAATAATGTTTGATCCGTATATTTTCTAAGAAAAATATCCGAGTAAGACTCCTACTGCTCCTACGAATTCACAGAACGACAGAACACAGTTAAGAAGAATGACGATCGATCGATTTTACGTACACCACCGAAATTTCGCGAGACCAAGTTGAGTGCATGGTTGCCAGATGTGCGGTGAAATAAGAAATGCAAAAATCTTTCCAACCAAAATTGAAACAAAATATGCATAGATTTTCTGTTTTTATGTTGAATTTATTGTAGTCACGAAAATTTTGGGTTATGTGAATTTCCAGAGTTCAGCTCTTTTAGAATTCTGAAATGATATTTTCAAATATATAGCCACCTTAAATTAAGCAGGAAATCGATGTTTGATATGGAATTGGCCGATACTTGTTGAAAATCTATGAAAACGTATTTATATGGAGGGTGTCAATTTGAAAACATCTAACCCTCAATATCTTCCTTCCAGTAAACAATATGAGCAATCGAAAAACCAGATCAATTTTATTATTGAGGATATTGTAGTCACGAAAATTTTGGGTTATGTGAATTTCCAGAGTTCAGCTCTTTTAGAATTCTGAAATGATATTTTCAAATATATATTTTGTTTGCAAACACATCCAAAAATAAAAACCGCAATGGAAAGTTCCAAAACTACTGGATGAGGTAGTATATTGTAGCCACCTTAAATTAAGCAGGAAATCGATGTTTGATATGGAATTGGCCGATACTTGTTGAAAATCTATGAAAACGTATTTATATGGAGGGTGTCAATTTGAAAACATCTAACCCTCAATATCTTCCTTCCAGTAAACAATATGAGCAATCGAAAAACCAGATCAATTTTATTAGTCAAGAGGGACACTTTCAAGGACTATTTGTAACCCTCGTGGTTAAACCCCCTAGGAGGGGTAGTATTACCCTTAAATGGGATGAAGGGCCAACTGGCACATTATTTTGATTGGCGTTCAATTCTGCTTCCAATGGTACCTTGACTTATTATTTTTTGATGAGTATTTTCTGAAAAATAGGGTTCTTAGCTAACAGAAGTAATTATTAGTACGCCTATACGGAGATGGCCAATAGCTCCAATTAATTTACATCAAAAAGTGACTAATAGTAAAATGTAGATGTGTTTTGTAAATGCTGAATTTTTAATTCTCATCGTAAAAAGTGTACTTCTGCTGAAACAATTTCTGATTTTAGGCAAAAAATTGGTTCGCAAATTTGAACGATGTGGTAGTACATACACTTGTACCTGTTGGGCTCTTTAGTGATTACGTTAATAAGTCTATAAAAGAATTGAAATGATTGTAATTTATGATGAAGTTGGAAAGTGTGCACGAAGGTCTCATCGAGTCAATACCATCCCTAATCTTCAGTTAAACATCTATTTCAGCGATGCAAATGGATGTAGAAGGAAATGAACTTTTGCAGGACAATCTGTTACATTTGCAGCAGGACGGTGCTCCACCTGTTATTTTCTTCCGTCCGACAGTGGTTAGACGAGAGATTTTCGGATATATAGATTGGCAGAAGGGGAGCAATTGAACGGCTTCCGAGATCACCGGATTCAATGCCTTTAGATTTCTTTCTTTGGGGGCACTTCGGATCCGTTGTTTATGAAACACAACCTTCTGATATTGAAGAACTTTGAAGTCAAATTACAGCAGCGTGCCAGTCAATTCCTATTGAAGTTTTATGTAATGTTAGAGGGGAGTTCGAAAACAGATTTTATTATTGTTTAGAGAAAAACGGACTTTACTTTGGAAGAAGCCATTGTATGGCAGAACACATGTTGCGTTTTTGTAAAACTGTTTAGTGAAAATCTCACAATAATAAAGTGTTTTTTGAATACCTTAGTTATGGATTTTCATTAAGATCGGCCTATTCCATCATATGTGTTTGAAATATATTTCTCGCAAATTAAATTTCATTTATTCCTATCATTNCTTGAGAAAATTTCATTTATTCCTATCATTCAAGGGTTGGAACGGTGGCACCTACTCTTGTAACCATTTTTATCTGAAGGAGTCAATACAATAATGCATCTCATAACAGGCAAATTCTAATTACATGTGTTAGTTTCGAATGCTAATTCTTGGTACCATTGGAAGCAGAATTTAATTTCACTCAAAATGATGTGCCACTTAACCCTCCTTCCCATTTGGAATTCTAAGGTTAACATCTACCCCTACTAGGGGGTTGAACCTGTTTTTGACCTGTTTTTTAGATTCCTCATATTGTTTACTGGAAGGAAGATATTAAGAGTGGAAAGTTTTCAAATTGACACCCTGTATAAGTAACATTTTATTTTGAAATTTTCACTAGATGGTTAACGGAACCGAAACACGTGTTTCACTCTTCACTATTGAACATGCCTGAAGAATCTATTGAATAACGAAACATTTGTTGCGGTTTTGTAATCTATTTTGTGGAAATTTCGTGCAGAATAGTGTTACTAAAATGTGAAATTGAAATTTCACAAGATCAGTTCGAATACTTCTGTGGGTGAGATATTTTCCGTACCTTATAATATTATCTCAAACTGACCACCTCCTGAAAAACATTTTGAATACACATGCTTTTCATACAGAATTTACTTTAAACGAGTATATATTGTGAGATATTTCAGAATTAACCAGCTGTATATCCGTAAGATGCATTCATTGAACTTGAATAATTTGAAGATTCAAAATATAACTAGTATAAATGGAAGTTGCCTTTTCGTTTAGGTTATCAAATACCTAATAATCAAATATCACTTCATTGTATTTCATTTATAAGTTTTATAGTTCATGCATTTGTCAGAATTTAAGTATTTTAGCCTAGTAATAAAATTCAAACATCAACTTTATCAACGTTATAAATCTGTGACGATGCAGATAAACTCATATTTTTCAAATGAGAATTTGGCAACACCGTTAATTTGGCCAACACATCAGTGTTTGTTTGGTGTTACAACAGGAAACGGGACCCGCAGTCGAACCGGTCTGTATGTTGATATTGAATGAAACGAAGGTTTCCTAAAGATTATTCGGTGGCTACTTAAAAATAATCCATTTACAATTATTATTCCTATTAGGAAGGAAATTATCGTATTTATGATACGAAAGCGTTACCGATAGTTAAGTGGCGTTAATTAGTTTTAGGTTAATCCATAGCAATGTTTTCGTTCAGTGAAATCGAAGAAAGACTCGTGAACTCTAAACAGGAGCATCTTCTGCAGCACTGGGGGAAACTTACATCAGAAGAACGTGAGTGCTTCCTTCAGCAGTTGAGCGCAATAGATTTTGAATATATGAATGAGATTTTTTGGAATGCTACAAATTTCCGTCATGAAACCCCCAAAAAACTTGATACCCGAATGTCTCCCATCCCTTCCGCAAGGTACGAAGTTGCAGACCGAGTATCTCGAGCAGTCCTCGCAGAATATAGAACTATAGGATTGAAAGAGATTTCGGAAGATCATGTTGCAGTAATTCTTCTAGCTGGCGGTCAAGGCACAAGACTGGGAGTTACCTACCCGAAAGGCATGTTTCCCATCGACATCCCTTCAGGAAAAACCCTCTTCCAACTACAAGCAGAACGGATAAGGAGGGTCATTGAACTTGCCGAAGAGGAGACCGGTAGGCAGGGCAAAATTTGCTGGTATATAATGACAAGTGCAGCTACTCATGAGAGCACAGCAAATTACCTTGAAAAACACGAATATTTCGGGATTCATAAGGAAGATGTCGTCCTTTTTCAACAAGCATCGTTGCCCTGTTTTACCTTCAGTGGAAAAATTATTTTGGAGAAAAAGGATTCTATTGCACTGGCGCCTGATGGGAATGGTGGAATTTACGAGGCTATGCAAAAACATAAAATTGTTGCCGATATGCAGAGAAGGGGAGTTAAGTATGTCCATGTGTACAGTGTGGATAATATCTTGGTGAAAGTTGCAGATCCAGAATTTATAGGGTTTGTATCTTATTTTAAATTTTTTATCAAAACCAAGTTTTATTAAAAAATGTTTGTTCCTAGAATAAATCCATAGAATTTACTTACAAACTTTTAACGAAATCTATCGATCCTTACCATAAATTGGTGAAATCCCAATTCTTTTTTAGTACCCTTGAATGAACACATTCATAGAAAAAATCCCCATCCACGAAAAATTTGAAGAAATTATGGATTTTCTCTTCGAAAGTTATTATGAGTCGGGTAGGTGTTGATTTTCTGCATCACAAAATTCTCAACATACAAAAGATTGTAATAAATTATAAATTTCCTTTGGAAATTTGTACATTCCGAGTGAGGGTTGGTGTTCAGCTCGACAAATTCTAACGAATTTTTTATATAAGTAGGTACTTGGCAATATTTAAGATGATATTGATGGCGTTATTGTTATAATTGTTTCGAATCGCGTAAATTTCAGGACATTGACTAAATTCATTGCTGGTTACGAATTTTATCCCTACTTTATCAGGTCTCGCGCGTTGCTTTGATAAATCCATGGAACTCGTGACTATTTTCACACCTTCAATTTCATTTTTTTTAATCTCTAGCATCAAAACTAATCGAGTTATTAATATTACTAGAGTTTTTTTCCTAACACCCAACCGTTATTTTAACATCTCGACGCGTGTTACGATCATCTTCAAGAGGATCAAACTGATCCTCTTAAAGATGATCACTTGGTGATCGAAACACATATCGAGGTGTTAAAAATAACGATTTGGTGTTAGGGAAAAACTTCAGTAATGTTCATTACTACACCAAAGGTTCAAAACAGTGCTTCACAAGTAATCGAGTTATGACGAAAATTGGTCCCTTAGATTTTCGACGACAAAAAAATGTGAAAACACCATAATTACCACCATTTGGAAATATTCCTTAATTCTTCACAGTTCACTTTATTTATGTAGGTACTTGTAAGATGCTCTAGAAGTTTGACCGATTGAAAGTGCTCGGTTTTGAAATAAATGAGCTCGAAGTGAATAGAGCGTTTTTTGTATTTTTGTGAAAATTGCTTTCATTCAAAATAACTCAATTTTTTTTAAAGATATGCGAGATATAGCTATGATGTGTACTTATCAATGCTCCAATCAATAGTTTTTGAAAAAAGACAATTTTTGTCTGAATTGCACTTTTCACTCCATGCTCAAATTTCTCAAACTGAACGTATTAAACCGGTCAAATTTCTAGAGCATATCAAGAATACTTTACAATATGTTTTCAAAATCTTTAAAAACGTATAACAAAATTAGTTAGCTCCCTAACTATTTTATTAAAGCGGAACTGCTGGAAGGTAAGGTGCACTATATCGTTTACTTGAACTATACCTAGACATGCAATTTTCGATGATACTCTTTTCTTATGTTTCCACCCCATTTCCACCCCTTCAGACGGCCTGGAAAACTGTGACAAAGTTTTGTTTTGTTGTACCTACGGTCATCAGGAATAGCGTATGTCAAAATTAGTTAGCTCCCTAACTATTTTATTAAAGCGGAACTGCTGGAAGGTAGGGTGCACTATATCGTTTACTTGAACTATACCTACACATGCAATTTTCGATGATACTCTTTTCTTATGTTTCCACCCCATTTCCAACCCTTCAGACGGCCTGGAAAACTGTGACAAAGTTTTGTTTTGTTGTACCTACGGTCATCAGGAATAGCGTATGTCAGTTTGGTAGGTGTACAAAGAAAATTTTTCCTGTTACGAGTTTTTTAAATATTTTCACCCTAATTTCACCTCTTCAGAGGACTTAAATTTCGATGGAATCCCGGCGAATATACCACCGACTTCGATTGCCAAATATAAACGCTACCACGCGCCTATCGGGATAGTCAACTGAAAGTTACAGAGTGCGGTACGCGGAACGATCTTGTAAGGCGATAGACATTCGAATAATACTTGAAGTTTCAGTTGAAGTGTTTGTTGTATTTAAAGTGAAATGAAGTTAAGTTTGATTATTGTCCAGTCTAGTCAATTATTGATCAACTCACGGTTGAAACATAACATTTGGTGTCAGAAGTGGGATAAGTGTCTGAAACTTTTATGTTTTATAGTGAAAACTGTCGATTACGACATGATGAAAAAGCTTGAGAAAATGGTTGAGGTTCAGGATGAATTTGGAAAAGCATTTCAGGAAACGAAGGAGTGGTTGGAGAAAGTAGTCGATGAGAAGCTTGAAGGTTTTGAAAAGAATTTGGAAAAGAGCTTGAAGGAGTCGTAAGGAAATTTGAAAAGAAGTTCGAAGGAGCCGAAAAAACGTTTGAAGAAGCTTTCCGGGAACTTCAGAAAGAATCACTGGAGCGAAGGAGGATCGCTGCGCACAAAATGCCAATCGGAAACATCTCTCCCTTCTAGCAGTAGTTTTATTAAAACTCCGATTTTAGATGGCGAATCTTCATGGTCAATTCATCGCAAACAATCTGAGGTTACTACGGAAAATAATGGGTGGAAAAATGAGAAGAAAGCAACAGCAACTGTCACTACGAGGAAAGACCTCCGAAATTCTGCAGAATATCCCAGTGGATAAGCAGATGGATTATGAAGCAGTCGTATCAGCTTTGGAGGTCAGGTATGGTAGTAAGCACCTTCAACAAGTATACCAAGCTCACCTGAAGGTGAGAACTGAATGAAAACAAAATTGAATGAAATCATCATTCTAGAATTTGAGGCTGCCAAAAATGCTTCACAACAACGAAAAGTTCTAATGGAAGCCATCAATGGAAATGAAGACGAAGGAACAGATCGACTCACGGTACATTACACAAAGTTATATTTGTTCAGTTATTTTTGAAAATATATTTTTCATGTCACTTTGTTTCTTTTTTCTTTTCAGTAAATAATGTAACTATATGTTGATCTTTGTATTATTTGAATATGTTACATTTCTCATTAACATATTTTTTTAAAAACTTTTTATCCTTTTATTTGAGGTAAGATATCTGAAAGTGGGGAGTGAGGAGCCCATTCCACATTTTACATTTTTGAGAAAAAAGGTTGTGGCTTTCTACTTCTCCATTTTTATATGAAAAAAATGTGGGAATCTTCCAAAGCCAAAACCTTTCTTTCTCGAAAATTATTCCCTTATTATTTTCAATTCTTCTAATTTTCAATCGAAACCAGATTATATTCGGAACCTACTGAAAATGGAAAGGAAATACCACTAGTGAATAGTATAAAATTGTTTATAATCAATTGATAGCGTTAAATATTTCATTGATAGTGTAAAATTTTGTATAAAAGGTACTTTCAATCAAATAAATTCCATCAATTAATTACATCACACAATTTATATAATATTTCCATTTCCACCTCCTCAGATCTAAGAAACTTCAACACGGTGTTTTTTNAATAGTTCTTGACAAGCTTCCTATCATTCGCGATAGCTCATAAAAGCACCGAATAAACATTCGAGGAAAGATGAAATACATAGTTTTTTAGAAGATAACAATTTGTATTTTGAAGATAACTATACCAAAAACCAACTAAGTACTTGAAGTTTAACAGACAAAAACATTTGAAAAATTGTATGCTGAATAGTATGGACACACCATATTAAGACTTCCCCTCTATTTTTGTGTAATCCAATCGAGTTGATTTGGAGAAAAAGAAGTTAATGATTCTTTACCTTTTCTTGACATGACAGTCGTCAGGTTTCAAGGAAACATTCTTAAGACTACGTGGCACAGAAAAACTATATGTAGCAATAGGTTCATTAGTTATTTTTCACAGCATCCTTCAAGGATGAAAACCAACTTAATTTTATCTCTTAAAGAAAGAGTCACCAGATTGTCCCATCCGGATTTTGTTAAAAATGATTTAAAATTTTTAAAAAGTATTCTAATGGAAAATTCGTATCCTCCTAAGCTTTTGAATAAATATTTATTCAACTTACCCAAATTCAATCTCAATTCAAGTTATCCAAATTTATCTACCCTAACCTCACGTAGTTAAATTGTATTTCAACTTTATTTCTCTGTGTACTTTGTGGATGTGGATATCTTCAAACCCGTTCAAAAAGATCGTTATAAACACCATAAAATAAAAATCGCTCAGGAAACCCTCGCGAATTGCATTCTCACTGTATAATCGGATGTAGGTTCAGTTGAAAGATCCTTGAGAATGCCAATATCTATGACGCTTCATAAATTCATCATGGATTCCATACCATTCGGCACATCTTACTTTGATAAGGTTTCCAAAGGTTATATATACAATAAAAATATATAATGAATATTTCGTTTATTGCATTCTCACTGTATAGATCGGATGTAGGTTCAGTTGAAAGAGCCTTGAGAATGTCAATATCGAACTTCAACACTCAAATCGCAATCAGTTCCTGAAGTGAACATTGACAAAATTGTTGTGGAATTAGCCGCGGTGGTAGTGTGCCCGACTCACGATCGGAAGACTGTGGGTTCGATTCCCGCCTCGACCAGATATTTTTCTCGAGAGAATTTAACTGGTTGAAGCTGGAATGATTCTGCAACCGTGTTAAGAATCACAAGTTTTAACTTGTGGTAAGACCTCGTTAGTCCTTATCTCGCACAAGTTTCTCAACTACTGAGAGTTGTCGTTCGTAAAGGGACGACAGCTAATTAACGGAAAAACAGATTTTTAACAGATTTTTTTAAACAGAACACCACGGCTCGCATTCTATTCGTCACCGTAACTTGACTTCAAAATTTAATTTTATGACTCTTCAGCCAATCATAAAACTCGGTTAGTAAAATCAACCAATACTTACCGCCAATTCTTTAGTCCACGTGGACTAGCTGGCAGCGGCTTTATCTCTTTGTACTGGTTTTTTTGGCCTTTGAGGCGCTGATAGCTTCAAGTGTTCACAATAAAGAGTTCGTCGACTATACTAAACAGACTTAGGAATCGGTCAAATACAGTTGAAATTTGTTAGGGGAAAAATATTGAGTGATAACGAAATCATTGTATACGGCGCCATTCAGTTGTTTCTAGGGTGAGAAATTTTAAACAAGGGTATATTGTTAATGAATATCACTGATGTTTTTTCCCAACACCAAACCGTTATTTTAACTCCTCGACATGTGTTTCGATCACCAAGTGATCATCTTAAAGAGGAAGATCAAACAGCTTGATTTTCCCCTTGAGGATGATCGCTGGTGATCGAAAAACGTGTCAAGGTGTTGAAATAACGGTTTGGTGTTTGGAAAAAGCTCCAGTAATATTCATTACTACACCAAAGGTGTATCACAGTGCATCACAAGGGTATTGTTTATTGAAGCCAATATTTCTAATGAAAAACAATTGAGAACCTATTTCGGTTCAACCGTTAATGAACTTGGATCAGAAATTTGAAACTAAACCCCTGTGTATTTTTTATAATATTTCATAGAATATTGAATTCTCTTTTCAACGTTTTAAAATGAATGACCCGCAATTTTGAAATGGAATTTCAAAAATGGCACCGTACCGGCCATTTTCCCCAAAATCAGAATAGTGGCACTATTCTGATTTGTATTTAAGAAAATATTACCAAACTTGATGTTGTGCGAAACAAATGACGTTCGCTTAATTTTTGAACAAAAATTTAAGAACTGACATTTTTCACCAATTCACATACTTTTCTTCATACTTTTCACATACTTTTACTTCATGAATTTCATAATAGGAGTATTGATATGAAGTGGCATTTTTAGAACTTTAACATAAATTTTCACCTCTCGTACTGAAAATAAATATTAAACATATCATGCAGTTCATTTCTCTGTGCTAGTGAAAAAGTGTATTTTTTCCTCCAATAACTACTTTATGATAATATAAAGTAGGAGCACAAAAAACATAACCGCATCGTTTTTTAAACATTTTTGTTGTACACTGTAATGTTCAAAAAATAAGATTCTCCATATATAACGCCAAACTTTTCAAAAACAACCACTGATATTCTCCATATGAAAAGAGATTATCCTAGTTCCCCAGAATAGGAAAATTTTGCCCAATTTAACCGACCTTGTAGGTCTTACCTTTTCTGAGGTAGACAGAGTGGGATTAGTTAATAAAACTCACATTAAGGCATACCAAATAGACATAAAAGGCAACATTTCTGTTCCGTGTACTTTATGTGTACCTCCATAGCCACTTAATAAGTCAAGTCACAGCCTTTTCTACTTAAATATATCATTATAGAATCATATTGATTTGAAATTGGAGTAGATTCGGCCCTGAAGGTCATAACTTAGCTCTTGATCCTTTCACATAGACACGTCTGCACTATCTTGTTTAAATGTTTTATTCTATTATTCTCATTGGTTTTCAATATATGGAAATCAATTCCCAAATCATTAAATATAGCATTGAGAACAGCAGATACCAATGTTGAACTTTCTGTACAGGTATTGTGTGAAAAAAGAAGCAGACTGTGGCGTCAAAGTCATTCCCAAAAGAATCCCCAACGAGCCTGTAGGAGTAGTGTGTGAAGTTGATGGAGTCTTTCAAGTAGTAGAATATAGCGAAATAAGTGAAGTGACTGCTAGTCAACGAAACAGATTAGGAGAATTGGTTTTTAATGCCGGAAACATATGCAATCACCTTTTCACAACCGATTTCCTTGAGAATATGTCAGAGGTTAATGCTGATGAACTTGATTTGCACGTTGCGCAAAAGAAAATCCCCTTCATCGGAGATAATTTGGAAATCATTCGGCCAACAGATCCTAACGGTATCAAAATAGAAAAATTCATTTTCGATGCTTTTAAATTCTCCTTAAATTTCGTAGTATGGGAAGTGCCGAGATGTACAGATTTTAGTCCTTTAAAAAACTGTGATAATACTTCTAGAGACTGTCCTGCTACTTGCAGGAGAGACCTACTCAAACTACATAAGAGATACGTTCAAAGAGCTGGAGGCGTAGTTGTGTGTGACGAACTGGAAATTTCACCGCTGTTATCATATGCAGGTGAAAATTTAGAAGAAATAGTTCGTGGAAAACAATTCTTTTCCAAGACCCTATTAGTTTCCAAATCCGAACAATCAAACAATGAGTCTTGAGTTTATGGCATTCCATTATAAATACCAATTAGGCCAATCAGTTTAGATTTCAATATAAAAAATAGGCATTGAATGAATTTTTTGCAAACCGTAGAAGCAATCATGATCATTCAGTAAATTTGCAAATATATAAAAAGGTATTAGTATCAGGAAAATATATGAAGTTAATATTTCTAGCAATGTATTGTCTCTGAGGTGAAATTTTTCTATTTACTCTATTTGTGTTTTTTTTTCAAAATACATTTCTAAAAAATTATAAATGACTTTTACTATATTGTTATTAGATTTTTTCATTCACAACAGCATTTACAATAATTTGCTACCTCGCTTTCGAAATGGAAATGAAAGGTGAAAGGGAATCAAAAAACAATTGTTCAATTATTTGAACTCACAAAAAATAGAGGATTTGCAAATCGGGATGGAAACTTGTAGTGGTGGTATACTTATGGACGGCAATCATGTCAGTTTTATTTCTGCGCCCAGATTACCACCACCGATAATGATTTGTTAAAACTGGTTCATTAGACAAAACCCCTTAAATTTTTCAAAAATACTCGAATTATTGAATTTTGGAGATTCTGAAATTTTTGATGACACTGAAGAGAACGAAATGATTCACATATTAGTGTTTTTTTTCGGGAGAATTTCACCATAGCACAATAAATATTTTTTACTCATATTGCACAATTTCCAGAATACAACAATTTATCTTTATTATTTAATCCACATTTGAATTTTGAAGTATTTTATTTCTTTCGATTCCAGAAAAATATCTAGGTAAATCATAAGTGTTATCTCAGAATGGAAATGGAAGTTATGGTGTACTTAATTTTGTGAATTCCATTTTACAGCTCTCATAGATGGAAACGTTATTGAATAATTTATGAGTGATAGTTTATAATATGGCTTCAATCAGTCACTGAAGTATAGCAAAAGAATGCCGTTGTGAAATTTTCATGTATTTTTCGAATGAAAAAACATCTATGTTTGTCCCGTCGACGATGTCAGCTAAGTAGATCTCCATGGAAGAGCAGGAAAGTCTGAAACAGAATACGAAATTATCTTATAATTATGGCCAGAAAGTAAATGTAAGACTTCAAAGTGATTCGGTTAAATGAAGTTCATCTGTGTAACTAAAATCGTAAATCTCAAAATTGGCATTTTAATACTGAATTTTTTGTGTTTATATTTTTTTTGCGTTCGTGTATAATAATTTAAGATAAAAAATTGTTTATAGAAGGTCTCGCAATTTCATCAAATAATCAATGTGTATTATTGAATCCAATTTACTTTTTGCATATGAGGTTGCAAAGTTACAAATACAATCGACCCGAGTTGGAACCAAAATTGAAAAGTTTTGTAATCATTTTGCAACTTATTTCAACTGAAAATGTTAGCATTGAGAAAACAAAAAATCGATAATGCGTCGCAAATGTATGAGTATTTCAAACTGTATTGCCATACATCTGTCTCATCTGCAGAACTTTTAACATATTAGGAAGAAAAATACGGACAAATTAAGTGTCGTCCCTTATATGGTTGTAAATTCATGGTATAATGTGAAACATTATTACTAGTGATATTAATCGTTTGTTTTTTTGCAATTTTCAATGTAAAAATNATATCAAGGAGGTTACGTACAGCGCCATCTGCCTGCGAATAGATGAATCAATAATGTTGATATATCCAGGAGGTTACTTACAGCGCCATCTGCCCGCGAATATATCAAGCAATAATGTCGATAATTCTGTCAAATACAGATCCCGATATGAAATGAAAAGGGGAGTTACAAACAAACATATACATACAGGTGAAGCTAATATAAAGCGTGTAAAAATATAGGATTCTTCCAAAGTCATTCCACTATAATCCTTACTAGTGGACATAAAATGTTTCGGCATAAAACATTTGCCTTAGTGTCTGAAAGTTACTTCTTTGCATGATCTACAAATCTTTGAACCTAAGGAGTCAATTTATTGAAATTTATTATATAAAGATAGAGAAAGAAGTAGGAAGCCAAAACCTACCCCTGTCAATTCAAAATAAGATTCCTATGAATTGGATTTAATCAAGTAGGCGAATGAATATCATTTATACTGTCATCGATGACATGAATCATTCGTGACATAAAGTCATAATTTTATGAATGAATTGAATGCTTTATTTTATAATGGTATCTAGATTGGTGCTGAAGAGGCAATTGAGCAAGTGTCTTATTCCGAAACATCGGATGTCCATCATTAAGGATGTGTTCTATGTAAGTGAAATTATACGTCTGATATCTGATTCAATTCCGTAACGAATGGTTGGAATACAAACTGAATAGAAAAAAGTTATACACATGACATATTTTTAAATCATGGAGAAAAACTTCGAATAGAGGGTGATATGAGTTTTTTATTCATTTTTCAAAATGAATGCATGAATTTCACTGAGATTGTTCAGTTCTGATCTTTTATTCATCGTTTGTTTTTCATTATCTATCTCAGAAATTTCTAATAATAATCTTTTCGATTTTAGTATTAGTGTTATCCATACTTTGGTCATATTACTGAAATTTTATATACTGAAAAGAATCCTGTGAGACATTAGGTGGGTTAGCTGTTGTTTTCCGTCGGAAATTGTCACACGTACCTACAACATCGTAGGTCTCACATGACAGGCAAGGGTTTGGTACTTTTACCCGAATTTGGGCTTGTCATATGCACCTCTTCGGAATATATTCAATATATTGGTACAAGATATTTTGTAGTTTTCTCAATGCAATATGGATTTTTGTTATCGCTGAGTTTTATACCGCCATCTTGTGCCAATGATCACCTGAATTCTATTGTCAACAATATTCACTGGACACTCAGTATTTTATATATAAGTTGTAGGATTACGTGTATGGAAACCAATCGTATATTTATGAAATGTTGTTTCAGGAGGAGACATTGCTGATTTGGGACAATTTCCATGGATGGCATTGTTAGGATATAAACGTAAATGGTTTGATATCTAATATACATTATGAATAAAACTGAATTCGAGTAATTTCAGTCTTGTCATAGAGTGAATGAACTAAATATCAACCATCAATTGAATCGTGTAATTCTCCATCAAAAAATATTTTAGATCAACTCAATAGAAACGCCAGAATGTTGCTGACTAGTCATTGTTCTTGCGAATTTATCGAAGACCGATACTACTGTATCACTAATATTTCAAATTAATTGAATACTCATACTATGTGGTTGGATTTCAGGTCAATGGGGAAAAATTGAATTCGAAAATATGCAGAATGAATGATACGAAGATGTTTGTTTGGTTTTACATATTCAATTAATTTGATGCTTTTGAAGTATGTTCATATAAGTAATAAGTTAATTTGAGTTCACTTTTTTCAAACCGTTTTGTAAAACTTCTTCTAATTGTATTAGGTGATAACTTAGGATGCATCATTTTCAAAAAAACTCCAAAATAAGATAAGTATTTGATTTTTTTATTATTCAGACTACTGACTAACTTGTAGCGTTTAGGTTAACATACTTTTATTTTCTAAAATTATTCAGATGAATGCAAATGAAGTTACATCTCATACAGGACACTACTTGAAGAAAGCTTTAGTTTGATATATTTCCTGCGAAGGCATATGTGCCAAGGTGGTTCTAAAAAGGAATAAGGGGACACAGTTCTTAGAACTTCAATAAATTGTGGATGTAGCCGTTACTATGTGGTAGGAAATCATCATAAAAAATGAGAATTGAAACTAGTCTTTACCACTTTTATTTGTAACTATTACTATTACATTACTGCGGACAGTTTCAAACGTATACATTAAACTAAACTATAACACCACTGTAGGTAACGACAGAGGTACTTAACTCAAGTGAGTACCTGAATTTTATTTACCTGTGACAATTTGGATACGCCTATTTGAAAACCGGTGAGTAAACTAGATCGATTTGATCATTCAACAGGTTGCATCTGCAATGTTTATGCTTATAAATTTCCAAGTATTCCAAATAATTGAGTTTGCAACCCTTCGTTGCATAGTGCAAAATTTCCATATCGTTTAGATTCGTGAATTTGTGGTTACATCCCAAGGAATGGGTTAAATCAAAACAAAAAGAATCCAATGTAGCGCCCATAAGAAAAAATAAAGTTGATGACGGTGTCCGGAAAATGAAACGTCGGATAGCAAATCTGAAAACACCATTATGCAGCAGGGAAAAAGTGGCAATGTGGAAATGCAAGTTATTTTCGAACCCGAAAAATGAAGCCAGAAAAAATAAAAACCATTTTCCGGATATACTAGGAATTTCAGAACTTTCTCAACGGCATATTGTTAGTCAGGTAAATGCGCAACTTTGCGCTAATTTAACCGTCTTCGTATCTCTCATAGTTTCCGAGATCCCAATGGTGAGTATCGAAAGTGAAACACCCTGTATATTCTGAATTCATTAGTTTGGACTTCCATTGTCTGATATTATATAAAATGATTTGAAATCCCTGAAAGAACTAATAAAAAAGAAAAAATTAAAAATGAGCAGCTGAAAATAACAACTATATTGAGCAAAAAAAAACCTGAAATGAAATAATTGTGAAATAAAATACAACCATTGCTTGCACTTCCCTACGTCACAGGATTATCGGAAAGTATAAGAAGAATTGGATCAGAACCTGCTTCAGATCCGGAGACACTATTCGTAGCAGCCTCACGAAAACCAGGCCACCAAACGCGGACTGCGATTCCAAGAATTGCATTTATCGGATACCCTGTGAGTGCGGAAAATCCCATATCGGTGAAACTAAGAGGTCATTGAATGTTCGCATTGCCGAGCACAAGAAACACAGACAGCGAGGAGAAACCAGCAAATCAGGAATAGCAGAGCATGTTTGGACCCATCAACACAACATCGAGTTATCCCAAACTGAAATCATACACAGGGTAATTCAGAGAAATCACATACATGTTGTCCAACAATGTATTCAGCCAAGCTAGCATAGAGATACGCAACATATGAAAAAACCCATAATCAAGCGGAAAATTGCGGAAATGAATTATAAGCCCAACTGAAACGTATTCTAAGTATTCTAAATGATGATAGATAGATACTTCATTTAACTACGTTATGTTGAAAACATTTGCAGCAAGTCACAATACATAAACATATACAGTTACAATACATATACAGTTTTTTTGATAATACAAGCATAATGAGACTATCATAAAATTGGTACATATAACAATAATTGCGAAAAATTAATATATGATGAGAAACTAGAAGTTTAAGAAAATTTATCTATATTTCGCCAAACAGTTATCTCCCACTAAACCGGTGAAGCGGAAAAAAGGAAGCGGAGATAAGTACTCGAATGACACATAAATAGTCATCTCTCGGAGAAATTAGTCCAGTCATCGCCCGAAGACGATTGTGGATATTAACAATCCAAACGTCGTGAAGTTATTTGGCTCGCAATCCCTCAAATTTTTATTTTTAGTTTTTGATCAATTGTTCTATTTTTACTTGTATTTCATTTCAGGTTTTTTTTGCTTAATATAGTTGTTATTTTCAGCTATTCATTTTTAATTCTTTTTTTTTAATAATTCTTACAGGGATTTCAAATCATTTTATATAATATCAGACAATGCAAGTCTGAACTAATGAAATTCATCATGAAACATTGTCAATCACCTTCAAAAAAATATATATCACTATTTAAAGCAAAAGTGAAACTAAACACCCCACTATGGCATAAGCTGATGTTCATATTTTTCTGCCCCTTCATTTTTCTTCAATTTTGAAGACCGTCCTTGGTGGTGTCCAACTTGTTCATGCTGTGCTTCTTATAAGAAGACAACAATGGTACTGCCATTCTGAGAGAACTGATAAGGCCAGAACGCATAAGTAATGTACTTTTGACTTGTAATATTATTTCAGTCCAAGATACTTTATTTCAACTTTTGTATGATGCCAAGTACTATGGATAGGCGTCTTTTATCGAAGATGTAATTTGATCTTGCAAAAATTAAGTTGTTCCAAAATATTTCAACCTCTATAATGAGTATTTGTTCATGCATGAATTGAATATACACGTTTGAATTTTGATATTTCACCGTTTATGCGATTAGTTAAGGACCAAACTCCACGCAATACATTCCCATCATAATGTCCTATTCAATTTCACAGTTTTCCTAATAGTGCCACAAGTTGAATGGCGCCCATTTCAGTGTTGATTATATTTTGTTGAAAAGAACTTTTAAATGAACCCAGACCAACTCAGACTAAATCTGGCGTTCGTGAGTGTGCAAAAGATCATTGAATTTTTAATAGTTTGATGTAAACTATTGACATTATTAAGAAAATTGACCAAGGAATCAATCAATGGATATTTATTTCCATTTTTCGACATGGCTTATACATGTATTGGAATTGTCAAATGGCAGGTACATTAGTTCATTAAAATAAAATAAAAATTTACATCAAAAAAGAAAAGGTTAAAATACACTAACACTGAAATTTACATCACACATAGTTAATCACATATTATGATTTTTTTTTTATAAAATCACATATACTTTAAAAACATTTTTTCATTAAGAAGTTCTTCAACTCATGTTTAAATGAAAACAATTTATTTATATACTTCACTTCTTCTGGGAGATCGTTGTTGAATATTTTGAGGCCAAAATAATCAAGAGCACATGATTTTTTTTTGCTGAATTTACATGAAAATGTTGCATTTTTCCTGTTCCATAACCATGAATATGCGAATTGGACATTGTGAATTTATTTTTCTTTTTGCTAAATTTGCATTAAAATGTTGCATATTTCTTGTTCCATAACCATGAATATCTGAATTGCGAATTAAAGTGTTCCTATTTTCGAAAACATGGACACACGTTTCAAAAATGAAGAGACATGGAAGCGTCAAAACAAGAAATGTTTTGAAAATAGATCTACACGATTCTCTGTTCGCGATACATCTCAAATTTCGTTTTTATGCAGTGCAATGAAAATATCTTTCGCACCAGGTGCATTGCGCCATAAGCAAATGCCATATCTGAGTATCGATTCAACTTTGGCATAATAAACATTCACCATCTATTTCACTTCTAGAACATCGTAAATTAATAAAGAGATATTTCAAAGAATTGAGTTTGGAAGATAATTGTTGGCAATGGAATCTCCAAAAGAGATGTTCATCCAGATATACTCCCACAAACTGACGAAAGGAATATTTCATTAAAATCAATGGGATTTAAATATGCTTAGAATGGGTTTCCCGTTAATTGTAACAGATGAAAACTCTGTTGAAGAGTACTTATAATTTGAAAATTTATTACTCCATTATTCTGTTCGTATTAGTTACATAACGAATTCAAGAGAAGTGATGTTGTCGGAATTGTCAAAGTGATTTAAATCACAATGATCAATAGCTTGCGAGTTGATCACCATTTTTTTTCATCCATACATGTCACAAAATCGAAATAATTTATTGTTTATTTTTGTATCATGTCAAATACTCAGCAGTTTAATCAAATAACGGATTCGAATTATGTGAACTTATTTGTAATTGATTTTACACGGCGACTGAATAAAAATTCACCTTCCGTATAAATGTATTTGTTTATTGTAAATGTTACTATCATACAGTAGCAAATAACAATTCTAAGTGAACGATACTGATTTAAAATATTTTAGAAGTCTATTATATTTAATTTCCTTTATCAAACCAAAAGTTTGGTACTATTTCACGAAGAACGTACTCAAATGAAATGTTTCCTGTATTGTGGACTTACATAAAGTCCTATACGATACCTATAGTTCATCAGTTGTAATCTGATTGAGACGTTGTTTTCTCTCAAATTTATACATATATTTCACGACAATTTTTCAGAAAAAAGAGTGGACTTCATAGAATACTTGTGTGGTGGTACCATAATAACAGAGACGTATGTCTTGACTGCTGCGCATTGCATTGGAGTAGGAAAACATCATAAACTGTGAGTATATTCTCAAATTCAATACTTTTTTGTAATAGTATTCCAACGAAAAATTAGTACTGTAAATTAGTAATTCTTCCACCATTATTCTCTAAAGATTGTCAATGTGAGATGAAAGTAGGTCTTTGGTTCGGCTGTTAGTTATATTGGACGGTGGTAATCTGGATGCAAAAATATTATCATGACTTGCATGTGCCAAAGTTAAATGTGTACGTAGGTAGATTAGGCTGAGTTTACTTTTAGGTAAACGAAACTTATCTGATTTAATGTCTGTGTATATCTTGGTCAGTTATCAGAATGAATGCACATATTTTGGTATTTGCGTTTTCTGATTGATTCAAGATGGATACATACAGGCTGATTCACGGTGGATGGCACATTAGACGTTTCTGGTGAACCAGACAACGGATCACTTTGAAAATTTAATGGAGGGCATATTCTGCTGCCACACGCTTCATACCAATTGCATGACATGAGCCACCAGGTATGCCAACATCCTCAGCAACTTCTCCTATAGTGATTCGATGATTCTCTAAAACAATCTTTTTCTCAACATTTTCATCGGTTCTTGACGTATCATTCTCATCTTCACGACTTTCTGTTTAAAGCTTGTACCTACCACTTGTGAACATTTTTATGACTATATCATATGACTATACCATACTATATCACCGTATACCACTGTCAACATTTCGAATGCTTTAGAACAGTGAATTCCATCTTTAACATAAAATTTGATGCAAATTCAATGATCCCATACCAGAAAATCGTCAAACACTCAAAACACTTCCAAATTTTATGTATCTCACCAAAAAACTAAAACAGCCGAAACTGTGAACATATGTTGAATACAGTGTACATAAAAAAATAAAAAATCTCTAATCGAATGTACGTATTAGCCCGCAAAATTTGAACATTTACCTGTGATTGTGTTCGTTTATATCTGCTTTCACTCATTTCTACTAGTAAGTAAGTTTATAAGTAACAGCTGTTTGTACTATTCTGATGAAGAATTTACCCGTAGCTCAGCTCAAGCAATATAGCTTGACTCTTGAGATTTATAAACAATATACAAGGTCGGTGCAATGAAAAAATGTTCATCAAGGTTCAATCTGTATTTATGAGTAGTTATTACTTTTTTGCTGGACCAACGTATCGGTTTTATTTAGCCTTCATTGCATTAACATTTCACATTACAAAAAAAAATCTGTAATCCATTGGACATCAGTATGGTAACTCCAGAATCTTCTGAAAAATAATGATGAAGCCAACATGCAGGTATTTTCTATAGGTACTAGATCAACCTACTTTAGTGGCTGGTGACGATTCTATTAGAGAAAAAATAAATATAATTCTGCTAATACATGAATCCCAATTAAAAAACTAATCAATACAGTTTATTGTATGATGTTCATTATAAAAGGGTTTTACAAAAACCGCGACACGTGTTTCGTTATAAAATAGCTTCCTCAAGCATATTGTTGTTACTGTTATTGTTATAGAATGACAAAGATAAAAGTTCAATTTCAGAAAAATCGGGAGTGTATAAATTATCATGTGGGTCATGTCCGACGTTTCATATAGGTCAAATTGGAAGAAAGTTCAAAGCCTGCATAAAGGAATAGAAATATAGTTTTCAGAATGGAAAAATGAATTCAACATATGCCAGTCATTTAATCACAGAGGGGCATGAGTTCAACCATGAATACAAACCCCTCCATTTCCAGAAGAAAGGTTTGAAACTTAACCTGTTGGAGTGTATGGAAATTAACAAATTCAAAAAGGCTCAACATCTTATGAACGATCAAACTGAATTGAATAATTCGCCATTATCGAATCTGTTCGTTTGTAGGTAAAAATAGTTAGGAATATTCACAGATATGCTTTCGAAAAATTTATTGACATTGGAATTCATACCTGACCTTTTCAGGTAGATTCATTATTTAGGTAGACGATTAGGTACTAGGTTAGAGTATAAAATGGTTGTAATTTAGAAGTAACTCTCAGTTTATGCTTGAGGAAGAAGCTATTGTATAGTCAAACACGTGTCGCGGTATTTATAAAACCCTTTTATAGTAAAAATCATACAATAAACTGTATTGATTAGTTTTTTAATATGAATTTTCATCAAGTATCAGCCAGTTCTATTTAATTAATGAATCCTAAATGCAGGTTAGGTATAGATAAACTTAGTCGTTCTAAGAAAAATTTTACTAAATGTGAACTACTTATTTGCGTTAGGTGAAATAACTTTCAGGAATAACTGGTAGAACATAATAGTGATAGCATTTTTTTAATTATATCAGCAAATATAAAAGCACAGTAGGTATGTGCGCAATAATTGTGATAGCTGGTGGACTGAAATAATTGTGATAGCTGGTGGACTGATTTAGCGCTAATTGAGTTCCTTTCGGCGCAATTTAATTGTTTTAATGGCCACCAAAAATTCCATCACTGTACGCCAAATTGTTATCGAAGCTTTTGATAGGTTATAATAAGGTAAGATCTTTGAAACATCATATTATTTTACTACGATCATGAAACATTCTCATTTTATTATTTGAATTATCATGTTGCGATTTGCCCTTCAACAAACACTTTTATTTGTAACTAACGTCCTGAGAGGACATTTTCAAACTTATACATTAAACTAGCCCTTATATAGCACCCCTGTAGGTAATGACAGAGGTACTTGGCTTGATTGACTACCTGCATTTTGTTCATTAGTTACAATGCGGATATGCTAATTTAAAAACCGGTGAGTAAACTAAATCGATTTGATCATTTAACAGGTTGCACCCGCAATGTTTATGCTTGTGAATTTCCAGGGAATCTAAATAATAGAGTTTGTGACGCTTCCCTGCAAAGTTTCCGTATCGTTTAGGTTCGGGAACTTGTGATTGCATGCCAAGGAATGGTTTGAAAACGTCAAAGCATTTTTCCTAGTCTGAAACACCTTTCATGTTCAGTATACCGTTTTTGGAAATTTCGACCACATTTTCCCACATAAACATTATTACACTCCGGACACTTAAGCTTATAAACTCCATATTTCTCCAACTTGTCCACCTTCTCTTTGGCATTGAAAAGGAAATCAGATAACCTGGCATGTTGTCTGAATGCCACTTCCACATTGTTTTTTTTCTGAAGAAACACGCAATTGTCTCTGTTCTGAAGTAACTTTTTCTTGGTTTCTTGTTGTTTCACCTGAGGGGATATTAATCTGTAAGTGAATTTACGGCTTTGTTTTCTGACTCACTTCTAAATAGTATCTGTGTTGAAACCATTATTATGACCTATCTGTGTAATTATATCAATTTCCTTCTGTGCAACATTGACTTGTAGGCTGCTAATTTATGACTGTCTGGCTGGAAAAAATCGCTTGGGATGGTAATGGCTGTATAGATAGGTTTTCTGAAAACATTGGACTCAAATTTATTCTGATTGTATGTAATGCTCAGGTCTAACAAATTTATCTGTTTCTCTATCTCTGTTTCGAGTGTGAACTGAATGTTGCTATTGAGATTATTCACGAATGTCATGAATTGGTTCAGCTGTCGTGTAGTACCTCTGAAACAGATGAGAATATCGTCTACATATCTGTACCAAAAATAAATATGTTTTTTACCCAGGTCGGTCATTTGACATCATTTCTTAAGCAAAATCTACTGCCAAAATCAAATTTCACATAAAACGATGAATAAAAAAGTTTCCCATTTGATGCGGACTTTATCGGTGACACTGTATAGCTGGCAGCCTCTGGTTTCTCTTCCCCGCATCTTGCGTGTTTCAGCCTTGCTATCGCTTCGTATTCACAGAGCACATGCAGTGTGGTTTCTTTCTCTTCCTGACAGGACCTTCATCGGGTTTCTTCTCTCAGACTTATGGTGCTCATATAACGGGGCTATGCCCCATTAGTAGACCCACCACTACCCTTGAGGTTTAGTAGATCTTTCGTGAATCTGGGCGATGGTTTCTTTATGAACTCTTTCGCCTCCCCATTCCTGGGAGCTCACTCCACCAATCTATCGATTCGGCTTGCATTCATAAATTTATAGATGAATTTATACATGCCCTCATATCGGGATACCCAAGCTAGAGTGACCCTATTTGGCTCCTTGAGTTAGGTCAAACAGCTTTCCACCAGTCTTGAGAAGACTTAAAATGAGTTGTCGGAGAAAATGGCAATAGTTTTATTTATGAGATAAAGGGGAAAACTTTCCATAGACGGAAGTATACTGCATCATCTGGATGCCTGAGAAACGTACACCAATCTATGATAAGAACAACGCCTGTCACAAAAACTCACCATAGGCAAGAACTCAGTCCGCGAAGTAAAGGCACAACCTCTAATAGATCCAGATGTTTTCTATCCTTCTCTTCTCCTACGGGATAGTAAAATTGACTTGTGGGAAACTGCACTAACTTGACGTAGAAATTTAAAGAATAATATACTTTCTCCAATAAGAGACGGTTTTTCGAGTTTGGAGTTCTTCCGTAACATGAGGAGTCTATTCGGATTCACTGCTCTGTATAGTCCGTGATCATGAAAAACAGGTTTACTGTATTTTTGGGGCAACTACTCGGGAAGGCTATACATTAGACGTCGTCGGTATGGAATTTCTTTACACCAGATCCAAGAAGTTTCTGGCTTTCTGCTTCTCCATTTGAATACACGAAATTACACTAATTACACGAAAGGAAAATATATTTGAAATAACTACTTCTAATGGAGTTTATGCTGGGAGTGAATCAAATAAGTGTGAATGTCTTCACGTACTGTTGTCGTGAAAATAGTAGATCAAATTTTTCGGTGTCAAAGTTGTAATGTTATGAATGAATTGTGTATATGATGAAGTATACTTCGTCTTGTAATGTTATTCAGAATGGTTCTGATGAGTTGATAAGACAAGTCTACCATCATGAATTGGAAAAAGTTATTAGAATTTTATACTTCTGGTTTGAAATGATTTTTTCTGAAACATTTTTTCTACACCAGAACAAAAATACTGTGTCTTAACTAACGTTTTTCTAACAAATTTAGCATAGTCATGATGTGACTAAGACAAGCTTACTGTCTGATCTGAGCCTTATAAAGCATCAAAAGTTGCTGAGGGATGTATAGTTTTCTGGTTCAAAACAGTGATCAAAGCTTTTGAGAAGCAGCCTTTGTAATTCCAGCGACATGGTTGTGCCAAGACATTAGTTGTCCATTTTAACCCCCAACAAACTTATCGAAGCAGAAAGTAGAATTGTCTAACCTGACATTATTATATCCGGTTCGGAGACATTTATCTTCTTGGAGAAAACCGATGCCTGGATTTTTGTGGCATTGAATTGAACCCCAATTCGAAATCACTTCTAGATCTTCATTAAAATATGCAACCTCCTGATGCGGGTGAAGGTGTGCCTCCGTAGCCGATGTCCTGGAATACAAATGGAATGACGAGACATTGAATTGAATCCCAATTCGAAATCACTTCTAGATCCTCCTGCTGCGTAACCGATGTCCTGGAATACAAATGGAATGACGAGACAAGTGTGCTGTCGTCAGCAAAGCAATATATTGGATTCCTGTTTTTTTTCAATAAGTCGTTGATACACAATAAAAAAAAGTTTGAGACCATATGGATCCCTGGGAAACATCAGCGTTTATGGTAAAACTATTCGAGAGATATCCATCGACTGCCACTTGCAGGAACGTTTTTTCAGGAAGCTGGAAGCCATACACAGAAATGATGCGACAAGCCATAGCATCGAAGTTTGACCAGCAAACCCTCATGCCACATACGGTCAAATGCCTTAGAAATATCAAGCGCAACAGCTCTTGATTCTCCATGTTTCTCGATTGCATTCGATTGCGTTATTTCGTTGGTGGTCAAATTGCGTTTCTTTGGAGGTCAAATTATTCAGCTAACAGTGGTCCACCCAGATCCACGGCAGATAGGAAACACCCTGTATACACCGTTTCTGTCCGTTTCAGAGTCCAGGTAAGGTTGGGAGAACACGATTTACGATCATCGACCGATTGTCAGGTGTATCACGGTAAGAGAGTTTGTTCAGACAACCCCGTGGACATTCCTGTGCTCAGTACACTCAGACACCCAAATTACCATACAAGAACATTGAAAAATGACATAGCCCTGGTGAGACTGAAAACAATTATAACTTTTACTGGTAAGTCTAATTCATTTCTGTTCGAATGTGCTTTCTTATATTGTTGATTTATATCTTGAATATTCACAAGCATAAGTGAGTCAGCTGAGTGATATTTTTATAACTCATCGCATTGAGAAGTGCTTATTCATTAATATACACGGGATACAAACAGAAATATCCACACAGTTGAATTAATATGTCTGCGGAACAGCCAGTAGTCGCTGCGAGCCAAATCTGGCCAATATGGTGGGTGTGGGAGCAATTCGAAATTCAATTCATGTAGTTTTGCCATTATTTTGGTCAACTTGTGACATGGTGCCTTGTCATGATGAAACAAATTTTTTTCTTTGCCATATACGGTCGTTTTTTTGGAATTTCGGCCTTTAAACGCTCCAATAACGCTGTTCACTGTTGATAATATTTCCTTTCTCAAAGTAGTCGATGAATATCACATCACGCACATCCCAAAATACCGAGGCCATAACATTACCAGCCGATTGTTGTGCTTTCGGGTGCTTTGAACGAGGTTCACCAATTGCTCTCCATTCAGATGACGATCGTTTTGATTCCGTAGTGAAGGATGGATCCATGTTTCTTCCATTATCACATATCAACGCAAAAATTCCGGTTTGTTATGTTCAAACATGGCCACTGCTCAGAATCATCAAGATGTTCTTGTTTTTGGTCAACAGTTAGTTCGCGTGGCACCCACTTTGAACAGAGCTTTCTCATAGTAAAATGCTCATGCAATATAAAGCCAACATGTTCTTTCGATATCTTTATTATGTCAGGTAACTTACGCAATTTCACTTTTCGATCACCCATAACGATTTTGTGGTTTATTTTTGTTTTCTTGTGTTACTGCCTCATTTAGACGTCCACTGCGTTCTGCATCATCGATGTATCTACGATCACGTTGGAAATCAGCAAACCAACGTTTTATTGTTGTTTCTGATGGAATGGAGCCACTATAACACTTTTCAAGTCATTGCTTCGTTTGAACGGTGTTTTTTCCATCAAGAAGCAGTGTAAAATTCAAACACGAAATTGTTTTTGATCCATAGTGTTGAATATAACAAAAGTAGTGTCACTCTTATCACAATAACTCACAAACCCATAGGTAGAATATCAAGAAATTTCAACAGCTTTTTTTTTGAAAGTTATAATTAACTGAACATGCAGTAAATGCAATAAGACTAGCGCAATCTGTGTGTTAGGCTCGAGACTTTTCAGCCCATGTAGTACATGAAAGTTATTTTCAGATACAAACAGGAAGAAGAACATAACATTGAGTTTCACGCAAATCAATTTTTCCTATTCAGTATGTTCTCCAATCATTCTTTGTGAACTTGAAACAAATAATATCAACGGGAACACTACAAAATATAACATATAAAACACTACGTCACGATAATACTACGTAAAAACATTCATATGGAATTTGATTATATATCAGGCAATTTAGTTTCTGTTTGTTCTGCTCTTATTACTACATAATTGGTCGCTCTCCTGATAATGAGTATCTTCGTAGTTGAAAGACTAAAATGGTCATATTTTTTTCAGACTTTATACAACCGATATGTCTGCCATTTGAAAGGAAGTTGGACAAGAAGGTTTTTACTGGTCAAAAGTTCATAGTATGTGGTTGGGGAAAAACCGACTCAAGTAAGTTTTGACGCATGTTTATTTGTTTTGTCCTACTCATCTTCTAATGAAAAAATAAACCAGCTAAATGAAAATTTTATAATTCTCAATAAAATGTACCATACTCAAAAGCTTCCAATCGATAATCAATTGAGAAATGAAGCAATCACGAATATTAAACAACTGAATACATATGTGGGTTGAAAAATATTTTCAAAATTTTCAGTATTATTTGCTGAACTTTCTTGGAATGATAAACTATTCAATCGTGATAAAACATCGTCAATTTCACTCATAAATAAATAATTGTTATTCTCAATAAATAGTTACTTAAAATTATTCGTCTCGAATAGACAACAATTTGTTCGCAATGAACGATACTATATATCTTCACCGAAGTCCTTATANACATGTCAGTTTAACGGGGCTCTATCGTTATAACGGGCGATTCTTCAATGTGTACAGGGTGTCTCAAAATACGTCATTTAAGAATATACATGACAGTTTGACGGTTTTTTGACAGATAGTGGTTTTTAATATCATAAGTATACAATTCTCTATACAGGATAGCCAAACGAAAACGTAATAGTCGCGTCTTAGGAAAACGCGAAGACCTGTTGTTTTTTTAACGAAAATGTTGATCCACCGAAGTAAATGAAAAATTACACTGTTCTCTACATTGTTATGGTTTTCGAAAATAAATAAAGTGCTAGAATTCTTCAGAGGGAGTCTCAAATGTAACAATTATTGATGAATAGGTGAATTCAGTAAAGGTCAATACCATTCTTCAACTACTTCTAAGTCGTATGCTTCGTTTCTTTACTTTAAATAAATTGATGGATGTAGCCGTTACTACGTGATAGAAAATCATAATGAAGAAAAGAGACTTGAAACTTTCTATGTTTCTATGTTATAGAATGAAACTACAGTTACGTTAGTTACAAATATAAGTGGTAAAAAACATAGAAAGTTTCAATTCTCTTTTCTTCCTTCACTTTGCTTAAGTGTGCCTTGTATTAGGAAAATTTCTAGGTATTCAAATCTATTGAACAATTCTTGAATTTGTCAATTTTATTTTTTAAATATCATACCAGTACTGTCGAGTAGATCAGAGAAATCCTGCTGGATATACCTCTTAAGTCACTTCAGTATCATGTTCGTTCTGTTTGAAATTGAAATTAAAACTTGAAGGAATGGTAACGCAGGCTGAAGACACTTTTGTTACATTTCATT